ACCTGGCATTACATAGCATCAGCCGGAGGTCCCGGGCCGGAGGGTCTAAGTCTCCCGGAAACCGAGTGGAGACCTGAGGACCGGAGCGCCCACAAGCTTGTAAATAGCGTGTGCGTGCTCCCCTAACCTGATATGGTCCTCTGCTCCCGCCATATCTGCCTCTCCCACTGACCGTACTAATTCCTTCCTCCTCCTTCAATCCCCCACCCTCTCCCCCCACCCTTTCTCCCTCGCAACCCCCAGACATGGCTGATCTTGAACGCCCGATGTCATTTTTCTTCACAAAACAGGCAAGGCAAAGTCACATTAAATTTAGGTCCTACCCGTCGAATGTCTTCGCAACCGCCCAAGCATTTTCAAACAGTTTATTCATGAACTTGTTTAAAAATTCCAAATTGGGTCAAAATCCATCTTAGGGGTTTTGTATATTTTGTATCTCGCTAGAGAAAAAACTAGTAAGGTTGCAGAGAAGAGCAACAAAGATGATTAGGGGAAGGGAAGGTAAAACAATGAGGATGGTTGTAAGAAATGGTTATGTCTAGGGGTAGGCAATCTTGGCTCTTTTATGACTCCTGGACTTCAACTCCCAGAATTCCTGAGCCAGCCATGCTGAGGGGAAAGGGAGAGGCTTCCAAGCTGAGCCATGCTGGCTCAGGAATTCTGGGAGTTGAAGTCCACGAATCATAAAAGAGCCAAGGTTGCCTACCCCTGAAGGAAGGGAAGGACTAGGGGTGACAGGATGACAGTCTTCCAATATTTCAGATGTTTTCAAAAAGAAGTGGGAGACAAACTATTTTCCAAAGTAACTGAAGGCTGAAGAAGAAGCAATGGCTGGAAACTAATCAGAGACGCAGCTTAGAACTAAGGAGAATTTCTTCACATTTAGAACAATTAATCAGTGCAATGGCCGGCCTCCAAAAGTTGAGTGATCCATCAGTGGAGGATTTTAAGAAGAGATTAGTGCTTGGCAACTTCGGCAATTTTAAGAAGTGTGGACTTCAGCTCCCAGAATTCCCTGGATAACTGGCTCGAGGTTGAGAAGTACTGACACAGAGAATCCACCAGAGGGCTCCCTCCGCATGTGGAAGCTGCTTCGGAAGGAAACTGAGCATGCGCAGATCGTTTCTCTTGTCTTTCTAGTCCAGCGATTCTCAACCTATGGGTCGCGACCCCATTTGGGGTCGATCGACCATTTCACGGGGGTCGCCAAGCAAGGCTGTCCGCCATTTTTTTCCCCTTTTCCGGCGGGTGCCTTACCTCCCTTGAGCTGGGCCAGCTGGTGGTCGGCCTGCTCCGTCTCTGCCGCTTGCCAGCTACGCCTCGGCCGGCGCAGGGGGCGGAACCACACATGCGCGGCGCTTCCAGGCAGGGAAAGTCCTCGACTTACGACCGGTTTAGTCCTCGACTTACGACCGGTTTAGTCCTCGACTTACGACCGGTTTAGTCCTCGACTTACGACCGGTTGGGGGTCGCAGCATTAAAAAGGTTGAGAACCACTGGATTAGACAGTCACTGCTGTAGAATGGTATAGGATCTCTTGCTTGGACAGGGGGTTCAGCTAGATAGAAGACCTCCCAGCTCCCTTCCAACTTTGTTATTCTGTAAAGCTTGCTCATTTGTGGCTTGGAAACGTGTACAAACCCACCACGGTCAGCAAACCACGATGAAAGCAAAGCTTATGGGATGCT